AGGTATGCAGACTTGGCTATAGCCGTGCCACACTATACAGTGTTCTGGTCTGGACATGTGCTCATCTATTTTCCCCACTATGGGGATACAAGCCTTAGTTAGCAATGGCATGATAAATATTCATTTCATGTTCATTTCATGTTCTTCATAATATTAAGAAACTGACCTAAAATCATGATTTTGTATTGCTTTAGAAAAAATGTGACCTGTCCCTTTAAGAAAAAGTATCGGTACTCGATCTTAAGTGGTATCAGAGCATCCCTAATATACTGTTTAAAGAATTTTAACTACCATGCCATGTTCCCCCTATCATGCCTAGTTCTGCCAAACTGCTACTGGAAACTGCTACTTACTTGGTGTCAAACTCCAATATTAAATGATATGAAGCCAACACCTTCAACAGGATATCCTTTCCTGGAGCACCTTTATTGTCCTTCCAGCCTGGAGATGGGAAACACTGATATTTGTTCAGATTATTATAAATGTTTATAGATATTTAACAGAACCTGCCCAAATATAATACAAGCTTAACTTACATTGCATGCTTTAAATAGACAGGTTTGCTAAAATTTTTCCAAACTGCAATTTAGGCTTTTCTTGGTAAACGATCCCAAGTTTTGCATGCTGGAACTCGTGTATGAGAAGCATGGGCTTCATTGAACTGAATGTCTGAAAGAAGAGCCGAGTGTGTTGCTACCTCAAGCATCTTATTAGATTACAACTGTGATTTCAGATCAGGTTTAATGTGAATTTGTACTGTGGAAGCTCTGCCCAGAAAAGGTAAGCATGTGCCAAAGGAATAGTACCAGTATTGCCTATTGGCTGCCTGCACTTAATCTCTTGTACTGTGTCTGAGTAGGGGCAGCCCTTTAGGTAGATGAGCATGGCTTCCCCATGTTAGAGTTGGATTCCTGATGACAACGGTAGGGAAATATTTGAAAAGCAGCAGGAGAGATGCAGAAAGCACAGATACACAAAATACATGAAGCAGAAGCAGGGAGATTGATTTTACTGTAGGTCTTCAGAAGGGTTCAGCAAGGAGAACAGTGGGCAGCACAACTGAGACCTCACAAAATCTCACTCCGAATCTCCTAAGACTAGCAGTCAAAGGCTGCGTTAGATAATCCCACCCTAATGTTATGCAGCAATGAGGCTCAAGGCACAGGAGCGCCGAGGCACAGGAAGCACACTGCTAATTTTCAGGAGGACATCAGGACAAAAAAGTAAATCTTTCAGAGAACGGCTTAGGCACAATTAACATTTCTAGATAACCCCTAAAAGATAGGAAATCTTAGCTTTCCAGGTCCACCTTGAAATGAAAATAAAATGTCATTGCTTAGAGCACTACAGACAGTTCTTCTTCAGACACTGGTTAATGATAAGACCCACTTTTATGGGGAACCTCAAAGTCGTTTCAGCATGCAGACTGGGAGAGTAAAAAAAAAAAAGAAGATCATGGTTAGCTGTTAAAGTGTTGGGCTTTTCTTTTGTAAACTTTATCTACAACACCAAAGACTTGCAGGTAAATTCATGCTACTCTGGCCAAAAAAGGAAAATATGGCTTCCATGGTAGCCTTTTATTTTATTAGAGGCTTTTGGATTCCAGGCATGTCGATGATGTATCATTCTAGATTTGTTTCACCAATGAAATGTATCCTTATCTGCTTGTATTCTTCATTTAGAGGAAAAATAAAAACACAAGCCTGAGGCCTTAGCTCCCACCCCACATATTCAATATTTAAAAAAAATATAATTATTTCAAAGTATGAAAACAAGTTTGTCTTGTGCTTCTCCATTAGTTTTTGTTGTCTTTGATGGTGGTGGATAGGCAGCGGGTAGGATACAAGTTGAATGGTTATGACAGGCATTAAGGCATTCAAACTGCTGGTTTCTTTTTATGTGAAGAACGCAAGTAAAATGTTTGAGAAGACTTCAGAACGAAAGTATGTTCACCCTTTGTATAAAATCCCCCTTCCCCCATTCTATGGACATGCACATGATAGAAGAAAAGAAAGAAAACATTCAGCCCATCAGAGTCACTAATTCATTGTAACTCAGCTAGGTGCATTCAGTCTTTACACAAATCCGGGTGTACATAGTTCTATCTACCAACCTATAAAGGCCACAGTCAACACCCACAGGTATAGTATATTCATTAGACCAAACAGGAAATACACTAAGCAAAAGAGCTGTGTCTCACTGTTTATCATCTCAGAGTCATCTACATGCAGTGCTGGCTGTTGTTTTATTGGCTGAGCCAATACTTTGATAAAACAGACCTGGACAACATTCTTCTTAAAAACAAGTATATTTAGTGTTTCACTTTGCATGATTGCATATGAGAATTTCTAGTTCTACCGTTGATTTCAGACATATGTTTTACTCTGTTGGAGGAATGAATGCTACAGTGGGCATGTCTGAGTGAGATTATTTTTTGTTTTCCCTTTCACTCACAGCCTCCTCAGTCTCATAAGACTTTTAAGGCACAGCCACCATTGGGTAGCCACAAGATGGCTGATATAACACAAAATGTGACCAGGTGACTAAGAATTCGGGTGTGTCTTTAAAGATTGAAATATGAGTGCAATGAGCAGCATGTGATTCTGGCAACAGACTCTTCATTCCAGAGCAATATAGACAGTTCAATTTTTTCTTTAGAGTTCTGCTTTAATTCATACAATGGAGTCACTAGTTCTCAGGCAACCAAAAAAATGTGTGCTCATGAATACTGGCATAGCCTACAAATATGCCACAGATATACTTTTCTTCCCTTGAGCCCAGATACAGAAAGGATGTCACTGCACTTGCAGGATCCTTTTTGTTATGGCAGCATGTCCTCATGCTCATGTCCTTTCCTGTTTTATGGCCAAAGCACAATGATACCCACTATTTAACCAACCGGTATGATCTGCTGCCATCTAAAGTGCTCATTGTAATGTGTTTGTTTGTGTGCCTATGACAGATCCATGTATTTATTATGGATTTATCAATGATGAAACAAATGAAGGGGATGAGGGAATGCATCAAGACTAATGGTCTTCCTCTACAGCATAGGCAGTAGGGACTGTCAAAAACTTTGAAGTGCAGCCCAATGATGTTTAAAGTTTTCCAGTGCACTAGTGTCAAGTATTCTGACATCAACAAGTCAGTGGCTTTGACTTCATTGCAGAAGGCTGGATATGCTAGGGGGAGTAATGCTTAAGAAGAGTAATGCTTGAGAACATTCAAGAATCAGTAATCCTATATAAACAAGCTTTAATAACATTAAGGGACTTGTATGAACTGTAAACGGCCTTATCAGAACTGAAGGCTTTTGAGGTGAATATGCTAGGAATGGCATTGTAGGTATTCCCATACACAGAACAGAGTGCCTATCAAGTAATAGCAAAAAAGGCTGCTATAAATTCCAACCGGCGAGCCTCACCGAGCCAAAAATGGCTAATGGCATGGAATAGTACATATTATATTTAAATACTATTTTTAAAATATTTTTAAGCTGAACTAAACCCACCAATTTAACTGTGCCCCAAAAGAAAGCTGAAGTTAGAAATGTTCAATAAATGATATGAAATCCTTAATCAAACATACCAATGTTGTTTTCTCCAGTACTTCCATTTACATTCTGCCTAATAGCGCATACGCAGTGTATGCTACATCCAAGTCATGGCTCTGGTGATAACTGTCACAGTTGCCAGTGTGCTTATTTCAGCTTGCAAACAATTTTTCAAACCCTCAAATGACTAGAGTCATAGCTGGTCACGTGTGCAGAACCATGCCAACTGAAGATCTAATCGGAGGCTAAGATGGCACCGTCATTGGTGAGTAGGGGGATGGAAAGGTTTGGCTTCGCTTTAATTAATTTAAAGGTAAGAGTAACTTTGCATCTCTGTAAACTGCATTAACAGCTCTTTTACATCAAATAACTTTTAGTTTTAGTTATCCTTTAGAACGTGACCTGATCAAGTGAGATCTTAGATTTTGCTGCCCTGACCATTTCTCTAAAAGCAAATGATTTGCTTGTGTAAACCTGAATGCACCTTCAAAGCTACAGCACAAATATTACAGATAGATTAATTCAGCAATACATTCTTTCATCAGCATAAAGACTTAATAGAGCAAAGGAAGTCCCAATGTATAAAAATATTAACAATAAAAAAAGACACATTTCACATTGTAACATACACAATAAAATAAAATGGGTCGAGGGCTGTACAAAGTTCAGAGATAAATACATTATTTATATGGATATTTTACAAATTCCCCTTACAAATAATAAACTAAAAACAAAAGGTTTGTTCATCTTTAAAAACAAAAGCAACCTTTCTGTTGCGTGATGTGCGGCTTTGTTTTTGTTTTTTAAACTGTTGGCTGACACAACACTTAGAAAGAGGAGTTTCCCATATAAAAAGG